CCCCAAAACCCCAAAACCCCCACAGCTATCTTATAAAAGAAATAAGTAAATGTCTTTTATGAAATAAATATTTGATATTAAATTTTTGATTTGAACTCTGATTAAAACTGAGCCATTTTAAATAATTAACTACTTTCTTTTGAATTTTTTTTTCTCTCAGACATAATCTTCTTGGACAATAATTTGATCAAATTTGAACTCTTCTACTTAATGATCATTAAATTCCTCCTTATTTTAAGCAATATCTTAGTTTTAATCATCATGAATACGCTAAGGTAACATAAAATACTGACTTTGATGTCTAATTTTGTCCTACTACATATTATCTAGAATAGTAAAGCAGCTCCCTCTTGTCATAGAATTTTCTAAGACCTAAATGTCTTATTGTAAAATATTATAATCTGCTAGCCTAAATGGTAATTTATGGTGTGAAAAATCTATTTAAGGGCATTGAATCCAAATTGGCAGCTTAACTTATGGTATCTCAGTCCCAATGATTATACCTTGATGTTTAAATTTGAATTTCAGGTTATAATTAACTTCGATTATATGTCCTTTGCTGCTTGGTATAAGATTTTCAAGCATTAATAACTCATCATTATTCTATTTTTTCTGCAGGCTTTTCATCATTTTCATATATGATTGTTTGTTATTATTTTAATCTACGGTAATATCCAAAAGTTTGATGTCAAATTAGTTAAATTCTTACTCCCCTTTTTTTATTCCTACGAATTTGTTCCTCATCAACACTTAAGATTCTCTAAAAATCAAGTTTTAATCATCAGTATTAGTTTATTATAACAAAACTTCCCTATATAGCTCAACTACAATAGATTTAAGATCTTTCTAACAGTTTTAATTATCAATTTTCATCATTATTTAAGCAATATCATTAGATTCATACGAATCTTTGCTTAAATAGATATCAATATTAGTTTGACCCTTATTAAAGACTAGCAGATTTTTTATTTTTCTAGCTATTGAAATTTAAGATTAAGCTGAATCTATCAAACTCTTTTGTTGAATAAATACTACTCTTTTTAATTTCTGAGACTAGAAACCAGAATCTGCCTAGGTAAAAATATCATCTAGCCTTGCTCGTAAAATATATTTCACTTAGGCTAGGTCGCAACTACCTGAAAAATAAGAGAGACTAGATGGGAGACTAATGTCTAATGGTATTTTAAAAGGTATTTGTATGATAGTGCTGCTGGGTATTTATTCTTTAAACTAGTAGATTATTGCTTGTAGATTAATGATTTCCTATTTGCCAGAATGACTAATTCTATCATCAGAACCTGGCAGCTCATTAAGTGTACTCCATTATGTTTTTTCCTTGCCTAAAAATTGGAGGGAGAGCACACTTCCTAAAGGAACCTCCTCTTTTACTAGCAAATATATGATCCCTTCAATTGATTCCCCAGGGGCATAGGTCGACTTAGCTAGCTCAATAGATAGCCAGGGTTTGAAAACTCCTTCCATTATATGTTTAGAAATTTTATGATTAATTAGGTTATCTCTAATTTTGGAAATTTTTTTTTATAAAATTGAATTTCAATACAAGCATCATGGGGTTTTGGGGTTTTGGGGTTTTGGGG